TATTGACTTGACCAATTGCAGAAGGATTCTTATTAAACCAGAAGAATAAGCTAGCAGGATGGGCACCAGTCTCTAAAGACAACACAGTGTAGGATTCCGTCCATGTGAAAAGTTGTAAAACCAGGAATGAAGTGAAGGGGCCCGCGAAGCTCAGGGAGAGATGCTCCCCGGGGACCACGCAGGTCGGGGTCGGGGGGGGTGGGGGGGGGACCAGTTAAGGATGCAGCGCACAGTGGCCTCTCAAGATTTGCATGTTTTCAAAGTAAATTGATTTCAAGGGTGGAAGTCAGTACTGTTCACGAAAGACATAAAGCAGGACTCAAAGCAACATGGCAGCCTTAAAAAAGGACATTCTGACACATGCTCCCCCGGGGATGATCCTGGAAGACACTCTGTTAAGTGAAATAGCTCAGACACAAAGCAACAAATGCTGTCTGATTCCCTCCCATGAGGGACCTAGCGTAGTCAAGATTCAGAGACAGAATGTAGGATGGTGGTTGCCAGGTCTGGGGTGAGGGGAATAGGGACTTAGTGTTTAATGGGTACCGTTTCCATTTGGGAAGCTGAAAACATTCTGGAGATGGACAGTGGTGATGGGGCACCATAACGTAAATGTCATTAATGCTACTGCACTGTATACCTAAAAAAATGTTAAAATGGTAAATCTGTTGTGTATATATATACATTTTTATTGATTTCAAGATGGGAGAGAGAGAAACATCAATGATGCCCCACACTGGGGATAGAGCCCGCAGCCTGGGCATGTGCCCTGACTGGGAATCGAACCGTGACCTCCTGGTTCATAGGTCGATGCTCAACCACTGAGCCACACCATTGGACTCCAATGATTTTTAGAGGGGAAGGTAGAAACACCCATGTGAGAGAGACAAATCGATTGGTTGCCTCCCCCATGGACCCCGACTGGGGTGGGATCCAACCTGCAACTCAGGTACATGCCCTTGATCAGCAATTGAACCCGCAACCCTTAGCACAAGCTGACACGCTAACCACTGAGCACGCTGCCCAGGGCTGCCTGCCCCTGTCTTTGAGGGCCTGAGGGGAAGCACCTGCACCCTGAGTGAACCGGCAGTGGAGTTGGAGACTCGAGGAGAAAGCCGAGTGGCCTTGAGGTAAGTGACAGAGCTGGAATGTGAGTCCAGGTCAGGTGCCTCCTGGGCCCAGCCTGTGCCCACCCCACCTGGGGCCACTGGGATGTTAGGGCAGGGCTGGCGCTGCCTGGCTTCCTCCGTGGGCAGTTGGCCCTGGCCTGACGCACCCCTGGGCTGGGCCTCCAGCCGGGACCGGGATGCTCAGTGACCCAGAGTGGCCCATGCCCTGGGCGCAGCCGCCCAGCCTCTTCCCAGCCTGAAAAGCAAACTCTTGTCGCCAAGGAAACGCAGCTGGTTTGGGGCCCTCAGCAACCGCCACTTCCCTCTGTGTGGCGTTTTCTGACCTGCATCCTGTGAACTCGGTGCTTCGTGCTTCGGGGGGAGGGCTCACAGATACCTGGTTTTATGTGCACAACATCCGGCAACACCTAAAACGCGCACACTGCTGTCATCAGCAGCAAACGCTGACACTGGGAGCCGCACAGGCGCCCTCACCTCGGGCAGCCCTGGGGGAACCCTGCTTGTGGCCTGTCAGCTGCTAAAACCCCTCCCAGGCGAGCCGGGACCTCTCCATCCTGCACAATTAAGAAAAAGCAGCGGCTAACTGGTTTGGCTCAGTGGATAGAGCGTCGGCCTGCGGACTGAAGGGTCCCAGGTTCCATTCCGGTCAAGGGCATGTACCTTGGTTGCGGCAACATCCACGGTAGGATGTGTGCAGGAGGCAGCTGATCGATGTTTCTAACTCTCTATGCCTCTCCCTTCCTCTCTGTAAAAAATCAATAAAATATATATTTTTTTAAAGCAGCAGGATGAATCCAAAGAAGCTACAGCCCCACTAGCTCCTTACTCCAAACTGGGCTTTTCCAACTAACCCACCGTTCTTATGAACTGGGTTTATAATAAGTAAATGTTGCAAATTGATGCTTTGTATTGAAATCCTATTTCCTGTTTGATACCATGGAGTTTCACATATGATTTAGATTGAAAAGGGGGGTTTCTCTGCTTGGGAAAGACACACACTAGGAAGCCCCTGACTCGATGGAAGGAACTGCAGGCGGGCTGCTGGGCAGAGGCATGGACAGGGCACCGCCCAGGTTAGAGCAGGCGGGACGGAGGGGCACCCTTAGGACGACCGCCCTGAGCTTACCTGGTGCCTCCGCACCTTACCAGGAGGTTGAAGCCACTTGTATGGTTTGGGTTTTATTACAATTTTCAGTGTACATAGAAAATCATGCACATTTTTAAAAAGACCATGATTAACCCCAGGTAGAGTTGTGCAGAAAAGGGATGTGGTGGTATATGAAGTGTGCCATGTGGCTCACTTCTGGGCAGCCATGACAGCCAGAATAAGGGCCACGCTGGATATTGGCCAGACCAACACTATGAAGAAACCTCGCTCCCACGCAGGGGTGCACCGGGAGGGGACGGCAGCGCACTGTTGCCGAGAGAAGGGAAAATTGGATTTTTAGGGTAAACATTTCCTGATTTTTAAGTGTTGTCAAATAAACTTTTAAAAAATATATTTTTATTTATTTCAGAGCAAGAGATAGAAACATCAATGATGATAGAGAATCATTGGCTGCCGCCTGCATGCCCCACCCTGGGGACTGAGCCTGCAACTCGGGCACACGAACCGGGACCTCCTGGTTCATAGGTCCACGCTCAACCACTGAGCCACCCGGCGGGGTCAAATACACCTTTTTAAGGTACACTCCCTCCAGGCCAGACCAAGCCTGTGGGGGGAGTACATGCAGCCAGCGGGCCCTCCGTTTGCAACTCTGCCGGCCTCGAGGGAGGTGGGGTCGCGCAGCAGGAAGTCGGGGTCAAGGCCAGGAGCGCGCAGAGGCTTCGCTGGGCGGGCAGCTGCTTCCTCCCGAAACCCCAGGGCGGCGGGAGGGCCGGGGGCCCTCCCTGG